AGGTGCTTCCTGCCAACTATTTCCCATGTGGGCCATGGCCCCTTGCTTCTGCGCCTCTGCACATTGTTCCCTCTGGCCCTTCCAAACTCATCCCCAGCATCCCCCACTTCAGGAACTTTCCCTAGCTGACCTTGGTCTGATTTGGCCTCTGGGCTGCCACAATCCCCTGGTCTACCTGGAAATTCCTTGAGGACAGGGCTACAAATTGTTCATCACTGTATCCTCAGTGGTAGCACAAAGTGGATGCTCAATTAATGTATGAATGAGGAAGAGGGAAGGTGTATCATTTGTGTTTGGCTGCAAATGCCAAAAATCCTGACTATAGAGGCTTAAACAAAATGGGGTTTATTTTTCTCAAATAAGGAAAAAGGAGGCACCTGCTGGCAATGACTCAGCAGCTCAACGACATGTCTGCATTTGCTTTGGCTTTTCCTAATGGTCACAAGATCGTCATTGTAGCTCTTGCCATCACATTCATGTTCCAGGAAGGAAGGAGAGGGGAGACAAAGCACCAGCACTGTTGGCCTCCTTTGTCAGGAGAAGTAAAACCCTTCTCCCCAGCTGACTTCCTCACTTCTCATTGGCCGAAACTGGGTCACATGGCCACCCCCAGCTATAAGGGAGACTGGGAAAACAAGTGTCTAACCTGATGCTGGAAGAACAAAATCACAGTTTTGTTAGCAAGAAAGAAAGTCGGGGTGGTAGGGGAAGAGGGTTAAGGGAGTGGGGGTGAGGAGGGTGGCTATTGGCTAGACAATTAGCATAGGGCTTCCTGAAGGAGGGGGAATTTGAGCTGTGCCTGGAAGGCCATATAGGGAAGAATGGGCTAGGTGGAAGTCTGGAAGGCTGAAAACGCTGTGTGTGACCGGGGACTGCAACGTGATGGAGACAGCCGGAGCAGGACAGGTGAATGTTTGCTGTATTTGGCATCAGCCAGCAGCTCTGTTTCCCCCATATGGCTCTAAATTTCTTCCTATGCTCCATCTGAAATTCCACCATTAAAGATGATCTCAGCCAGTGAACATGTGCTGGACACCTGCTGTGTACAGAGTCCTTTTCAAAATATAGATGTGCCCTGGCGGCTTTTGGTTACCAAGTCATTCATACCTGAATATCAATTAGTTTTATTGGCTAGTGACTCTCTAATGCTTAGCTGAATTCTGCCCTGAGAAATGGGAATTTTTATTCTAGAATGAGATAATGGAGCCTGGGAGCTAGGAGAAGGGGGGTGAGTGGGGCTGGGGATGGACACTGAGTGTCCCAGGGTAACTGGAGGTCTGGAGAAGAGGGAACCGACGTTCATTGAGCCCTGCTGAGGCCAGGACTGGCCAACCTTCCTCCCTCAGGCACTGCCAGCGCCAGTTCACAATCGAGGTAACCAGAGCTTAGAGAAGGGGACTGCCCTGCCCTAGGTCATCCCACACACAAGCGACAGGAGTGGGGCTGGACGCTGGTCAGTCTGCTACTGCCTTGTTGCTGCCCCCGGGTAATAACGATCATTGTTTCAGCTGACAATTATTTAACACTTGCTCTATACCAAGCATTGTTCTAAGTGCCTCACATGTTTTAATGCATGCCATTTTCACAGCAATACTACGAGGTAAGCACTATTCTTGTTCCCATTTTACAGATGAGGAACCTGAGGCACAGCAGGAGGTTAAATAATGTGTCCAAACTCTCACAGCTAGAAGTGTCAACAGGATTCAAACCCAGCTTGTCTGGCTTTGAGGCTCAGGGAAGGTCATGGCCTTGTCAAGGTCTTGTGGTAGATTAAGTATAGATTCTCTGGACCTGTAGTTCTCAAGTCCCCTTCCCCAGGGGACATTTGGTAATGTCTGGAGAAATTTTTGATTGTCACATCTAGTGGGGAGGCTGCTAAACACCTTACAATGCACACACGGCAGAGAACCATCCAGTCCCAAATGTCAGGAGAGTTGAGGAGGAGAACCCTGGTCTGAACTAGTCAGAGACCAGTGAGTCTACCTCCTCTCAGCGGTGAGGACTTAGAGCTGGGAGGAGAAGAAACAGGGCAGATGTCAGAGTGAAGCCTGTACAACTTGGCTAAGCTGCTATAACAAAGAGACAAAAACACGGGGCTCAAGTTAGAGAGGGGCGTGTTTCCTGTGCAGGAGCTGACCAGAGCCAGGTCCAGGCGGGCAGGTGGCTCTGTGCATGAGGGCTTGCGGGGCCTGTTCCTTCTGCCTGTTGCTCAGGGATTCCCCGGGGTGTTGGCTTGGTTACATGATGGAGCTTGGTTCACCACCCCCGTGTCTGCATTCTATCATATGAAAAGCAGCAAAGAGACAGTAGAAATCAAACAGAAGTTGATTTGCCCAGAGCTGGAACCAGGTTGTACCACTTGTGAGAGACGCTTGTTAAATCTTTAGGAATTCTTGGAGCCAGTTGTTAAATACAACAATTATTAAAGTAAATTAAATTAACATACAATTAAATAAACTTTATTAAAAACAAAGTTGATAATTACTCAAAACGTTTCACTTCCTCATTTATTTCGCTACACTCTGCTATCACCTAGGCATTGAGACTCATCTGTTGCATCTGTGTGGTGGAAGCACTGCACAACTCTGTGAGCTGCTGCGTGGCTCTTCCCCGCTCCGCGCTCACTGACACCATGTTGGTAGCTTGAAATCAGTCACGGTGGGAATATTGACACCACAGAAATCAGTAAACTCTACAAATCAGAGCTTGGTGGTTTGCTATGTTGACTGTCTAAATTTAAGAAGGTCACCAAGAAAATGTTAATGATGCAGATTAAACCTAAAACTGCATTCTAACTGTAGCCATTACACTGTACAAAAATTGAGAAAATATTCTTCTAGAATTTTAAAATATTTTTCGATACAGCAAAGAAGTTGCTCACATCACTGACAAACTATGACAACGAATGCCTTTACTGATTCCCTTTCATCTTACTCGTTATCATGAAAGAAAATATCAGCCAACACTCACGTCAGAAGTACTCTCATTCATCAATGATGTGAGCAACTTTTTTGCTGAATTTGGTAGTTATCAAGCATTTATTTTTAGTCTGGTTTTGTGGCACTATTGTTGGCAATAGATTTATATAAACTGATAGTGGATTTTGCGGGAAATTCCAAGTCACACTAAAGTCATAGGTGTGTGGAATTAGCAATAAAGAGTACTGTATATTTTATTCTTTGTAAACTGTGTGCTATACATTCTTTACATCGGTAAAATTTATAACAAACATATGTATGTATATATATTTTTCCTCCAAAGAGCCATTGAACGTCTATCAGCAGCCCCCCCTACACACCCCATCCACTCACATCCCATTGGCAGAAATGACATCACATGGCCACACCTCACTTCAAAGGATGCTGGGAAGTATAGTCTTGATCTGGGGGACCATGTGCCCCTTTGGGGGGCAGCCCCACCCTGGCAACTCCGTGTATTTTCCCCAGGGAAGAGTGCTAGCTCCCTGAGGTTAGCCATTTGGATTTTCCAAGCCCACCATTTATGGTTTTCTTGTGGCCTCGCCTGGAGGCCCGCCTCTAGAGTTCCCTCTAGCTCCCACTCAGAATTTCTGGAAAGCACAGAGGATGGTGTCCTGAAGGGATAGATTCCCATACCTCCCGCAGCACCTTCCAGTGCATCCTGCCCTCGCCTTTACTGCGTGCATCCATAATCCCAACAGCCGGTTCCAGCAGGGACTTTGAGCAGTGGTGTGCCCCAGACCAGCATTTCGGAGGGCATTAAATAGAACACGGGTTCCAGAGTCCCAACTCGTACAAGTCACTTCATCTCTTCAAGCCTCAGTTTCCTTCTCTGTAAAATGAGGATAATAAAACTTACCTTGCAGGGTTATTGGAAGGGTCAAATGCAATAATCTTTTGGGAAGTTTTGCTGTCTAGAAACTACAAATCACGTTTGAGGAGTAATTAATCCCAATTCCTACCTGATTGGTTTGTGATCAGGCTCAGATGGAATTATGGACACATAGCCCTTTGTAAAACTGTTAAACACTATACTGATAAAAGGTGGCGGGCCACCCCGTGGCTTAGCGGTTAAGTGCACGTGCTCCGCTACTGGCGGCCCAGGTTCGGATCCCTGGCGTGCACCGATGCACCGCTTCTCCGGCCAGGCTGAGGCCACGTCCCACGTACAGCAACTAGAAGGATGTGCAACTATGACATACAACTATCTACTGGGGCTTTGGGGGAAAAAAAAAGAGGAGGATTGGCAATAGATGTTAGCTCAGAGCCAGTCTTCCTCAGCAAAAAGAGGAGGATTAGCACGGATGTTAGCTCAGGGCTGATCTTCCTCACAAAAAAAAAAAACCACACACACACACACAAAAAGATGGCATATTACATTTTTAAGTAATGAAAAATTATTGGTTGTTTTATTTTAGCAAAAGCAATACAGTTAAAAATTTAGAAAACATAAAGTAAAAATAAAAAAATAAAAATACTCATAATACCACCACCTGGAGATAACCACTCTTTATATTTTGGTGTAGCTCCAACTTACGGTCATGTTTGTTTTATTTGGGCCCCCACCTACGCTCTCCAACTCCCCAACAAGATTATGTTGAAGCAAGTCCCAGACATCATATAATTTTATCTTAAATATTTCAGTATTTATCTCTAAATTTAAGGATACTTTAAATAAATATAACCTCAATATAAATATCACACCTAAAAAATAAATACTCTGGTGGAGGATGTTGATAATAAGGGAGGCTATGCATGTTTGGGGGTAGGGGGTATGGGAAATCTCTGTACCTTCCACTAAATTTTGCTGTGAATCTAAAACTGCTCTAAAAACTTAAGTCTATTTTTTTAAAAAAGTCCTTAATATTATCAAAACATGATCATTATCAAATTTCCCTAATTGTGTGTTTCTTTTTTTTATAAATCTTTATAAGCCTTTTTCTTATTTATTTGCCAAGCTCTTTATATATTAAGGATATTAACTAAGGTGATATTAATTATTTACTATTGTTATTCCTCCAGAGAAGGCCATGGAGACTTCAGGATCCTCCTCCCAGACTCGAGACCACAGTCAAGTCCACGGAGAAACAGAGGATCTAGACTGTATGTTTGCCTTCTCTGAACCTCCAGGCATAGCCACATGGGAGGTGAAGTCCAGCAGTGGGTGGAACAGAAGACCCAGCTCAGCTCATGTGACACAATGGCTCAAGTCATAGTTGAAACCTCTAGGGAAGTAGTGATTTTACACGCGCGCGCGCACACACACACACACACACTCACATGTATGTGCCTGGTCAGCCTGTCCCCCAGCACTTTCTATCTGTGGGGACCCTCAGTTATTTTCCAAATCTCGAGAAGGCTATGGGGCTTGGGCTGGCACTAGGGAGAGTCCCCAGAAGGTGGGAAGTGTCCTGCATGACCCCAGAATGGGGGATGGGAAGGTTTAGGGCTTGAACAGGTCCCGCCTGCCCTGTAATTTACAGAGAATCCTAAGTTGGCGACTACTCTACACAGTCTAGTAGTCTCTGGGCAGGATGAAGGGCTCAGAAGCCCCTCTGTGGGCTTCATACGCAGAGAAATTCCTGCCTTGGGCCTTTCTAGAGCTCCTGGGGCCTCTGAGAGCCCTGGTTTCCTGTACCTTCCATTGGCCTGAGGTGTTTGGGAAGAGTATCCCAGAAAATCCAGCCACTTCTGGCCCCCCAAGTCCAAGTAGACCCTTGAGGAGGCCTCAGTGGTCTCTCGGGTGGAAGGGAGGGAAGCACTCATCCTTGCCTATGTGTGATTCCCAGATGGAGAGACGGATTTCCACAAGCAGGATGGGGAGGCCGGACTCTTTTCTCAAGGACCATATAAGAGAGACAAGTCTTCTTCTGCCTCCTCTTCATCCTCCTCCTCCTCTTCTTCCTTGTCATCCTCCTCTGCCTCAGGTATAGCAAATATTTTTTAAAAAGTCTATATATCTCACAATATTATTGAAGAAAAGCATTTATATGGAAAAACAGTCCCCCATGTCTCCCACCTTGATACTTCAATTCTATTTTTCCATATTCCCTTCCAGAGCCCGCCTATCTGTACACATAACTTGTACACAGTTATAACTGACCATATAGACAATTTTGTCCTCTGTTTAAAACTTTTTGCTATCTTATCTCAAGCATTTGCCGTGTTATTCTGTAATATCTTCATAGCTATTTTTCATGCTTGCCAAATAGCCCCTCGAGTGGCTGCATCTCCTGTAAAGTAACATTTAGGTCCATCAGGGACATTCTGGTGCCGGAGTCAGTGCATCTGTCTGTTCAACTAGCCTGCCTAGGTTTAAATCCCTTGGCCACTAACTAGCTATGTGTTTTTGGGTAGATTGCTAAACCCTGTATGCCTTGGGGTCCTGATCTATAAGATGGGCTGATAGCAAGAGTTATTACCTCATGGTATTACTGTAAGGACTACGTTGTTTACGCGTGTAAAGTCTTAGCACCTAGCACAAATAACTGTTATTGCTAAGATCCCCCCACCTCGCCACCAGTGCATCATGTTCATGAGCATCCTTGCTCAAAAGCTTTTACTTTCTGAATTTTTCACATAAATTATGTCCTAAGTATCAATTCCCCACAAGTACTTTAGTGGGTATAGAGGCATGAACATCTCTGATGGGTGTAGATTACAAATTGCCACATTATTCTCTGATAAAAATCAGAATGTTCTTTCATTTTTATTCTTTTAATTCAAAATGTAAGGCTGAATTCATAGCAGCAGCAGCAACTGCATTTATTGAGCACTTGCTGTGTACCAGGTGCTGTCCCAAGCACTTTACGTGTCATCACTCAGTTAATTCTCATAGCAACCACTGAGGAAGATACTCTTATTATTCCCATTTTACGGGTGACGAAACTGAGGCACAGATAGGCTAACTGACCTGCTGTAAGAGGGCTCAGTGACCAACCTGGGATTCCCTGGAGGTCTTCCTTGGACTGGGGAGTCTGAGGGGTGGGCTCTGGTCTACTCCTCCTCCATCGGAGCTCATGCACTATGATATGTTTTACATAGTGGACTTGGGCCTGAGATTTTATTTGATGAAAGAGATCTTGGGCTAAAAAAAAAAAAAAATGCTTGCAAAGCCCTGGCCTCATGTCTTCATGTTGCAAATAATGAGACTAAGGCTAAAGGCCACAAAATCCATGCTCACTTCAGCAGACAGAGGAGGGAGAGTGGTTGGTGCGTCCAGTGGGTTTGTTTGTAGCCAGTCTCCTCATGGGACTGGAAAGGAAGCGGCCGCCCTTATTAACAAGTATACAAACACACCCCCTATGAGGATTAGCTCTGGAAGAGGAGCTTCCAGGTGCAGGGGCTCTTGCCTGTCCCTTTGCTTCTCCTCCCTGGGTGGGAGGGGACATTCTGTCTTCTGATTCTGGTTGACCCTCAGGGCGTGCTGCTCCCCCACAAAAGTTCTCCTCCAAGAGTGGCCATAAGCCCCTTCCCTCTGGGCTCTACAGCACACGTGGGGCTGACTGTAGTTAGGAAACCAGACAGTAAGAAAAAGCATGAGGGAAATAAACACAGAAGCATAGAGAGACACCGATACTCAGGACCCTGGTCTCTGATCCTACCGTGGCTGGCCTGCTGCTAGAATTACCTGCCTGTTCTTCAGGCTCAGATGCTGACCATTAGCTCTCAAGGCCCCAAGGCTGGTTGGGTACCTCCCTGCAGCCCCCAGGCTTCCTCCACATGCTGGACCCTGACTCATAGTCTGGCATCCAGCACCACTCTCCCTGCATATCATTTTGTTCTTAGTGTATCTTGTTATTTTTTAATTAAAACTTTTTTATTATGAAAGATTACACATAGGCAAGTTGTAGAAAATGTGGAGCATAGAAAGAAGTAGAAAGAAGGAAAAAATCTCCTTTGCCACCCAAAGATAACCACCAAACACATATTAATGTATTTCCTTACATTTATTCAATAAATATTTATTGAGCACCAACTATATGCCAGACTCTGTGTTGGATACTGGGGATGCTGATAACAAAGAGTGACTCTTTCTGTCAGGGTTAATTTTTTAAATAATTGAATTAGAGGCCACATACAAAAAATGTCCTCATTTTAAACAGTATATAATTCTATAATACCTCTTATAAAAATTATATATTATGAACATTTCATACTGAAAGCTAAAATAATCTTCGTTCACATGTTGTTGGAGGTTGTCTCTGGCTGATAGAATTTGGAGAAATTGTTGCTTTCTGAATTGTTTGATATTTTGCAAAATGCAATGAAAAAGCATTTTTTTTGGCATTAATATTTGTAAAAGACAAAAAATAAGAAAATAGAAACCACCCAAAATCCTATCTCCTGAGATAAATACCGCTGTTATCTTGATATACTTCCTGATCCCTCTTTTTCCGTATCTAGCTGAGATCACATACTCACTGATTTTAAGCACAGTTAATCTGGTTTCCTGGAACTTTAAAATTTATCCATGATTGAGTAGGAGGTCCCCAAATACACAGAGGGACATCAGCACTGTTGGGGCCATCTTGGTCACCTGAGGTAATGGAGTCCTCTGGACCTGGGGCCAGAAACTCCTAGGCTTGAATTCCTGGAATGCTGACAGGTCTAAGAGTACAAACAACATGGTCATTCTTCAAGTCTTGGTCAAGCTCCCGCTCTAGGCTGGGCACCCTTGGGAGAGTGAGGGCCCAGGCCTTGCCCTTTGGGAGCTCGAGATGGTTCAAGAGACAAGCACCATGACCTCTGACTGACCCTCATGCCCACTGTGTCAAGCACACAGTTGATGCCATAGAAACCCCAGAGGAGGGAAAGCAAGGTCAGTGTGAGCTGGGGCTGTTGGAAAAGCCTTTCTACAGGAGATGTGACATCAGCTTAACCTTCAGGATAAGGGAGACCAATGGGAAAGGCATTCAAGGTGGGAAACAACAGGAGCAAACACAGAGTCAGCACAGCATTGTGGGATACAGAGATGACACAGCCCTGCACTGGGTAGGAGGAAACCACCTCAGAAATAAGATACCTCGCATGACCTTGTCTCACCTTCATGAAAGCCTTATGAAAGAACAGCCACAGGAATATTGAGTGATTTGTCCAAGGTCACGTAGAGAGTTCTCGGCAGATCTCTTATCCTTCAACCCCCAAAGCAGAGCTCTTTGCCCCAGACCACACTCCTCACATCTTCTGAATTCTGAGAATGAACACCAGAATGAGTGTATTACAGGCTCGTTCCAGGCTGAGGTTCTCCTACAGCTTGTGTTGGTTCCCTGCAGAGAGCAGTGATGAGGACCTGCACCCCAGAGTAACTGGAAAACGTGAGCAGAGCTGGGGCGCTCACACCCCCACAGGGACGGCTCACCATAGGCAGTAGGTCTTACCATCTCCCCTTTGCCCCTGTGTCCCACTGTTGAGTTTCTCAACGGGACCAAGCACGTCTGTGTGAAGATGTTCCTTGCAGCTTTGTTTACGGTAGGGCAACAACAGGAAAGAACCTCATGGCCAACAGCAGCAAAAGAGATCAGTGATGCTACACCCTGTCCTAGGGGGAGCTCTGTTCTTCACACATCTCTGAAGTGAAAAAGAAAGACGTCAGGTCATATAATTAGTTTGATCTCATATACACTTTGTAAAAATTCACACATATGTGGTTATAAACAAGACTGGAAGGAAAAATATCAAAATGTTAATAGTGGTTCTCTCTGGATAGTTAAATTATGGGTGATTTTTATTTTCCCTTTTTTGAACTATCTTATACTATAAATATTTTACAATGAGCACGTGTTGTTTTCTTTTTGGTGAGGAAGATTGGCCCTGAGCTAACATCTGTTGCCAATCTTCCTCTTTTTGCTGAAAAATATCAAAATATTAATAGTGCTTATCTCTGGATAGTTAAATTATGGGTGATTTTTATTTTCTCTTTTTTGAACTATCTTATACTCTAAATATTTTATAATGAGCATGTTTTGTTTTGTTTTTGCTGAGGAAGATTGGCCCTGAGCTAACATCCATGCCCATCTTCCTCTATTTTATATGTGGGACACCTGCCACAGCATGGCTTGATAAGTGGTGCGTAGGTCTGTGCCTGGGATCCGAACCTGCGAACCTCAGGCCACCCAAGCGGAGTATGCGAACTTAACCACTATGCCATGGGGCCAGCCCCACAATGAGCATGTTTTAGTTTTACAACCAGAAGAAAATTTTTGCAAAAAAATGATGATAAATTTCAGCCCAAATGGATCATGGAAAAAAAAGAGCATAGGAGAAAGAGCCTAGATTAATGCCCAGTACAGACCCTGGCACACATGAGGTATTTAATAAATGCTGCCCATGAGGCTGGAGTTGAGCTCTGGGCTCTATTTCTGGGGATAAAAGTGACTAGGAATGCAGGCTTTGGCAACAGACCTGGATTTGAGCCCTGGAGTTGCCACTTGCTGGCTGTGTGACCTTCAGGGAATGATTTAACTTTGTGAGCCTCAGTTTCCTTATCTGTGAAATGGGAGAGGAAGAGGTACTAATATCTTCTTCATGGGAATTCCATGAAGATTAAATGAAATATTAAATACAAATTACTTCGCACAGTGTTGGCACATAGAAAGTGCTCAATAAATAGCAACTATTATTATTGACTTTGAACTAGGCCCAGGTCCTCTCAGGCCCCAAATTCTTTTTTTTTTTAATTAATTAATTTTTTTATTGCAGTAATATAGGTTTGTCCAATTCTTTCTTAGTAAACTGAACGTCGTGGTCACCCTTGGGTGTGCTGGGGGAGTAAGAGACAGAGTAAAGGCAAAGCATTTGTAAGACTGTCTTGCCTCTTGAAGACTGCCCACCTCACCCCAGCACAAGGACTGTGTTAGGTCTTGTAACACTTCAGACACGTGGAGATGACAGCTGTGGCTGGGAGACCTGACTAACAAGGGTTGTCTCTACCCAGGTGCTGAGCATGGGGAGCCTGATGTTTTGAAGGATGAGCTTCAACTCTATGGAGGTAATTGGCTATCTAGTGACTTGGGAGAAAACAGAATTAGAAGAAGGAGATGAGGGCTTAGGGCTTTGTTGGGCAGAAATGAGGTCATGAGGGTGTTTCATGCGCTGGGCAAATATAGGAGATGTGGCAAGGTGTGTGGTTACAACATTGGCAGATGGGGATGGGGGCAAGTATTTCTACCATAGTGAGACTGTCCTGTTCTCTTCCAAGCTATAACCTTGACTTGTGGGGTGACCTTAACCCCTCACCTAATATTTCTGGCCATCATCTTCCCAACCAGCAAAATGGGACACAATCAGTACTCGCTGTCCTAGAATTCTGGGCTGTTTAAGCATGCAAGGGAAAATTAAAGACCTGATCTCGACAAAGCTCATGTAATGCAATAATTGCCTCCCAACACCGTGATTATGACAGCAGGAGACATAAACGTTATGGCACTGGGTTTGGTAGCACCGTGATGAAATGGGGAATTTGTAGGAACGAACTATTTTGCCTGACCAGTGCACACTGCCAGATAAGAAAACCTGTTCAACTTTGTTTAATCCAACATTTCTATAATCTACTTGCTCTCCTAATGCCTGATAATAACCTAAAGGAAACAATGGGAAACACTTATGTGTACATTCAAAGAAAAGGAAGTGAAATATTTTGATGTTCTGCATCAAGATATTACCCCTGGCTGCCTCTGGGTGGTAGCATTGTGGATAATCTTTATACTGTTTTATTTGCCTATCTGAATTTTCTGATTTTCTTACTTTTTTTTTTTTTTTTTTTTACAAAAACAAGTATTACTTGGTTTAGAAAAATGTTTTCAATTACTCAAGGAGTGTAAGAATGTTTCACTGGGTGTAAAATGAGAGAGAGAAACTGTCACATTTATGTATATTTAAAAATGTTTTTTTATCATAAAAGTAATTCATATTCACTGTAGAAAACATAGATATTGTCACTTATTTGTGAATCACTTCCCCCCACCCCAAGACATTGGAGGACTTAGTAAACTATACTGTTGGAGTCTCGTTTCCTGCCATTCTTGGTATATCCCCTGTGCTCTCAGTACTGGTCACTCTGGTCACTTGTAGATGGTGTTTCCTGTTTGCACATCAGCCCTAAAGACAGTTCAGCACGCTGTTTATTGCTGTGTGCCGAGGGCCCCCTTCTGGTGTTTGTGTGTGGGACTGACCTGAAGGACAGGAAGTGTACAGGAATGGGGGCTCCTGGTAGTGGTAGTGGTGGGATTACAAGGGGTCCTGGCTGCTCTTGAGGGGAAGGAGGTAACAGACTAGGAGAGAGGTCACCAGGAACTAGAATAGGCACCAAGAACTGGAGGGTGAATTGGGTGGGAGGGCCACCCCAAACCCAATGAATGAGGAGGCAGCAGGTATACAGGGTTCAACTCACCCTTGGGGCAGCCTAGACAAGGGGCTTGACACTCAGGGTTGGGGGGGTCGGAGTTCCCAGTGTACAACCCAGCCTGGCTCCCTCATGCTCAGGGCCTGGTGGGTCACATGGCTAGGTATCATTACCTGCATCTGGATAGGCATGAACATGCAAACTGGTGGCCCATGTGTGTGTAGATATGTTGTATCTGGCGCACAGAGTGTTTTATTATTATCATTATTAATAATATATTTGATCAATTCTGTAACTCACACTTTTTCACATTTGGACATCCCTAAAATCCGGATTCATCTTAAAATCACTGGCAACTTACAATAATTGACAGTAGTTATCCTTACATAGTAGCACATAAAATAATGTCAGTCTCACAAACGATGACATCTTTGATTTGATAGAATGTAAGTGTTGCCAACTTTTTTATAATCAAGAAGTTTATGTAAAAACCTAGATTTCTGGCTTCTCATGGGAAATTGGAAGCCCTGTAACATTGAGCAGGCATTCCTACAGCAGCTTTCAGCAACTGGTAGGTGGTGGCCCCTTTAGAAGCAAGAGGAACCTTCCAGTTTGCTCCAGGTCCTATTCGGCACACTCCAGATCAAATGGAACAAATGGAAGTTCTCTGAGTGAGATCTGACTTCCCTGCAGAGTAACTTCTCCCCACTCAGAGGGTAATGGATGTGTGATTGGTGATTTTCCTTCTGTGCAGGAGTCCCTGGAGAGGTGGTGCCCTCTGGGGAATCAGGTGAGTGTCTGGTCAGGGGAGGGGGGTTCTCAGCGCTGGTGTCGAATGAGTTCTAGACATCATCTTTCTCCCAGAAGAGGCAGCTGCTTCAGGGTGCACGTCTGAGAGACAGGACTCCAAGTCCACTTGGGCCTCGGGCTCCGACCTGGGCTCAGCAAGCAGGTGGGGCTGGCTGTGGCATGAGGCAGAGGCCGGTGGAGATTAGAAAGGAGGTCCAGGCAAGAGGCAAAGGGATTGTAAAAACTATCTATAGATAGAAAGACCCCTTGGGGGCTGGAGAATTCGACAGGGGCATTTTCAGAGGTCACCTCTGGCCTCCCCAAGGATGGCGGCACCTGCTAAGGACCCAAGCTGGTCTGGGCACTAATGCTGAGTTTCTAATTTCCAGGACTCCGAAGGAGAGGCTCTGACCCAGCAAATGGTAAATACAGAAGCTCCAAGAGGAGAGCGGGAGGTGGTCTGGATTTCAGGGGGTTGGGACGGGACAACAGACAGCCTGAGAGGGTGGGTCAGTCCCAGAAGGGATGCCATCATCAGCCAGAGTGTGACTGTGATTAGGGAAAGGGACCTCTGGGCACAGGGGAAATGGAAAAGAAGAGACTCAGGCCAGTAGAGTGAGGAGGGGGTCAGTGGGGGTCCCAAGGACAGCCACCCTCACCTTCAGAGCTTTGCCCTGACTGGTCCTGCAGTGAGCGCCCTCTGACCCAGAACAAAGAACCCAAGAGAGCCATTCTCCGTGAGGCAGGGAGGAGAAAATGCCGCCTGCTGTCCCACATCAAAGTTAAACCCTCATCTCTCTCTTGCTCCTAAGGAGAAGTGGCGGCCTCTCAGTTAAGACGACTGAATATAAAGAAAGACGGTAAGGAAACTAGTGTTGCAACGCTGCTTCCGCCCTTCTGGTCCAGATTTCTGTGGGTAGAAGGTCAGCTGGCGGCCTGGAACAACAGTAACTGTGGCCCATCTCTGTTGTGTGCCCTGCAGTTTGCAAACTCCTCAGCTTAGAATCACCTTGAGAAGGTGGTACAATGATTCCCATTCTGCAGATATGGAAACTGAGGCTCAAGGATGGAGAGGGGTCTTACAGCTAGTGAGTGGCACAACCTGGGCTTGAACCCTGGTCCTGTGCTCTTTCTGCTATGCACAGAGTCACTAGGATGATAAATGCCCTCCAGGCCCATGGCCATGATGAGGAGCTGGAAACAGGCCTGGTGAGGAAGCCGTGAGGCTGGGTTAGACTAGACTCTAGGGAAGGAGTGATGAGAATCACGGAGTTCCTCCACTCCAGTCCTGGAACTGTGGGGACCTCGGGGAGGAGGCTGAGGGTGGGAAGGGAGACCATGGTTTCTGATTTTTTTTTGGAGTTGTTGCAAAAGCCCATCTTTAGGGAGGGGGAGACCTGGGCCTGAGCCCCTGGCTCTGCCTCCGTCCAGCAGAGCATGCTGTGTAACCTTCCAAGGCTATGAAATGGGCCTTGTTGGACTAAAACCGAGATTCCCAAAGTGCAGGCCAATTCCAAGTTGCTTCAGGACATGGCATTATATCGCAAAGAGAGAAGGCGACTCCCCTTTCTACTCTCGTTCTCAGAGCACGGTCTCAGCTGGGAGCCCCGTGCCTTTAATGCCACCATGACCCTTGCTCGTTGCCCTTTGGACACAGAAAGCAGCCTCTCCCTGTGTGCAGAGCCTTCCGCAGGCAGTGGGGCAGCTAGAACTTCCCCATCTTGCTTTGTATGCCTTGTGTTTGTTTTAAGATGGGGGATCCTAAGTTTCCATTTACTATTGTGACGTGAAGTTTTCTTTTAAAGTAAATTTATTTAAGGAAAAAAGGAATCTGTTCAAAGAAAAATGTTTAGTAAATATCAGTACAGATGGTCCCTGGATTAGCATGGAATTGTGAAGGTGGTGAGCAGTGCTACGTAGAAAGGGCAAAACTCACAAAGGTGGGGTGTGGATGGCTGAAGACTGAGAAAAACCAGATGAGAATGATCCCCCAGGTCCCTCCCGGCTCAAACACGACCTTGAGTCTTTATTCTGGCCCGATCGCTTCAGCCTCCAAAACGCCCCTAGATCGCAACAGCCCCTCCACTCGCCTGGTAGAACCCTTCATTATTCTGGGTCTGTGCCTTGCTCCCACCTCCTGGCCTTGTCTCGTGCTGTGCCTCCCGTGTAACATGGCATGTAAACGCACACACATGTATACACACACACAAGCACACAACACACACACACGCACACACAGTCCTACTGCCTTGACTGCCTTTAATGCTTAGGCTTAGCTCAAACTCTGATTCTTCCATGAAGCCCTCCTGGACTGCCTCAGCCGTGGTGACTCCCAAATTTTTATGACATCTTAACAGCTGCATAAAATTTCACAGTGTGGGTACATTATGATGTTCTTGAAATTATTCCCCACTTGGTAGACATTTAGGTTGTTTCTGACTTTTTGCTCTTTTCAACTAAGCTGTCCTACCCGTCCAGTCCTCTACTTGATCATGCATTTTGTTGTTCTCTCTCTTTTTAAAAATACTTGTATTTTCTAAATATTTATTCATAAAAAAACTGGAAAAAAGATTCTGGGTGAAATTCTGTGTTAGGAATTCAATTTGCATTTCTGAAAGACTGGGTGAGGAGAGTTCTCTAATCCACCTTGCCCCCAGGCTGTCACATCTCTGAAGAGACCTAAGCCTGATGCTTCCTTAAATGTTAAGACTAGTTCTGCCTAACATACTTTTTTCCTAAAGAATAAACTGATTTCAGAGCCAAGAATGTTCTAGAAATACTCATTTTGATTTTTCTCCAGGAAAAAAACAACAAAAACAAACCCAGAAATACCCTGCTCACCTCCGTTCACTTGCCTTCCATACGCCCCTCGACAGCAGTGATATGTGGCACCCCACTACCTTTACCATTTACACAGCATGTTCCCATCCAAGACCCCTCGCTCCCGCTGGTGGGGTAGAGGTTGCTCTCCTCCATTTATCACCGAGAACACTGAGGCTCAAAGGGGTCAGGACATTTGTCCAAAGCTTTGCAGCACATCAGTGGTCAAAATCTGGACTAAATTAGGACACATTCCCTGCAGCCTCAACACCCACTCAGAGAGCCTGCCTTGTTCCAGGGAACCATCCCTGAGTTTTCCTCTCTTTTTTCTTTTTCTTTCTCTCTTCCTGAAGTCTTTTTTTGCATCTCTTCTAATCACAGCCCCTTGACTGGGTCAAGGCCCCTGTGTGCTCTCCCCTGATGACTTCCACAGTGCCTGGCAAAGTGCAGGGGCGCCTCTTTCACAAACCACTCTCAGGAATTCCTGCCCAAGGTATGGGCCCTGTCTCTCAGCTCCTCTTTTGACCTCTGTTAGCTACAAAAACCCTCCAAGCCTGCAATTCCACTTCTGGGGCATTGGGCCCACAGAAATATATGCACAAACGCGTGGAGACTCGTGTGGTGATGTTTGGTGCAGCATCGGTACTAACAGCAAAAAATAGGACACCTCTAGGTTCATCAGTGGATGAGAGTTAAATAAATTAGGGTAAGTTTATACCATGGAACACTATGTAGCCATCAAAAAGAACAGGGCAGATCTATATATGCTCTGAGATGGAAAGATGGCCCCAATCTAACAATGAGAGGAAAAAAGCAAATTATAGAGCAGCAGGTATACAAATTGGTCCTGCTTTTGTTTTTAAAAATGTGCATATATATGCCTGGAAAAGTTTTGCCAGTCACCACTCAATTTTAAAGAGTGGGATTAGGGAGGGAGAATGGGGCAATGTGAAACTTTTAAACTTGACACATTTGCACTTTTTACCTTTGCATTTAACGTTCATTCGACAAATAAAGTATTAACAAATAAAGTGTCGGGCACCTCTGCATGCCTGGTGCTGCTTTAATCACTGGGCGAAATCACCACCCACCATCCTACTGAGGGGCACAGAGAATAACACAGAAATGAAAATATAGCAAGTTGAGTGGTGATAAATGTTAGAAAAATAATAAAGTGAGATAACAGCTGGAAAGGGGTGGGGCTTGGGGTGCTATTTTAGCTGGTCAGGAGCAGCCTCTCTGAATAAAGTTCCACTTGAGCAGAGACAGGAATACTTTTGTTCCTCGTTTTGTTAATGTGGTGTATCACATTGATTGATCTGCAGATGTTGAACCATCCCTGTGTCCCTGGTATAAATCCCACTTGATCATGGTGTATGATCTTTTTAACATATTGCTGGATTCGGTTTGCCAATATTTTGTTGAAGATTTTTGCATCTGTGCTCATCAGCGATATTGGCCTGTAATTTTCCTTCTTTGTCTGGCCTTGTCTGGCTTTGGTATCAGGGTGATGTTGGCCTCATAGAATGTGTTAGGAAGTGTTCCATCTTCCTCTATTTTTTGGAGTAGTTTGAGGATAGATATTAAATCTTCTTTGAATGTTTGGTAAAACTCTCCAGAGAAGCCATCTGGTCCTGGACTTTTATTTTAGGGGAGGTTTTTGATTACTTGTGATTGGTCTGTTCATATTCTCTATTTCTTCTTGACTCAGTTTTGGGAGGTTGGATGAGTCTAAGAATTTATCCATTTCTTCTAGATTGTCCAATTTGTTGGCATATAGTTTTTCATAGTATTCTCTTATAATCCTTTGTATTTCTGTGGTATCCATCGTAATTTCTCCTCTTTCATTTCTAATTTTATCTGAGCCTTCTCTCTTTTTTTCTTAGTGAGCCTGTCTAAGGGTTTGTCAATTTTGTTTATCTTCTCAAAGAACAAGCTCTTTGTTTCATTGATCCTTTCTACTGTTTTTTTGGTTGCAATTTCATTTATTTCTGCTCTAATTTTTATTATTTCCCTCCTGCTGACTTCGGGTTTTGTTTGTTCTTCTTTTCCTAATTCTGTTAGGTGTAGTTTAAGACTGCTTACTTGGCATTTTTCTTGTTTGTTAAGGTGGGCCTGTATTGCTATGAATTTCCCTCTCAGGACTGCCTTTGCTGCATCCCATGTGAGTTGGTACAGTGTATTTTCATTCTCATTTGTCTCCAGATATTTTTTGATTTCTCCTCTAATTTCTTCAATGATCCATTTGTTGTTCAGTAGCATGTTGTTTAGTCTCCTCATCTTTTTCACTTACCCAGTGTTTTTCTTGTAGTTGATTTCTAGTTTCATAGCATTATGGTTGGAAAAGATGCTTGTTGTGATTCCAATCTTCTTAAATTTATAGAGGCTTGTCTTGTTTCACAACATATGGTCTATCCTTGAGAATGTTCCATGCATGCTTGAGAAGAATGTGTAATCTGCTGTGTTTGGATAGAGTGCTCTATATATATCTATTAAGTCCATCTGGTCTAGTTTTTCATTTAAGTCCACTATTTCCTTATTGACTTTCTGTCTGGAAGATCTATCCATTGATGTAAGTGGGGTGTTAACGTCCCCTACTATTATTGTGTTGTTGTTAATGTCTCCTTTTAGGTTTGTTAATAGTTGCTTTATGTACTTGGTGCTCCTGTGGTGGGTGCATATATATTTATAAGTGTTACGTCCTCTTGGTGGAGTGTCCTTTTTATCATTATATATTGACCCTCTTTGTCTCTCATTACTTGTTTTATCTTGAAGTCAACTTTGTCTGATATAAGTATGGCAACACCTGCTTTCTTCTGTTTGCCATTAGCTTGAAGTATCATCTTCCATCCCTTCACTCTGAGCCTGTGTTTGTCTTTAGAGCTGAGATGTGTTTCCTGGAGGCAGCATATTGTTGGGTCTTGTTTTTTAATCCATCACTCCACTCTGTGTCTTTTGATTGGAGAATTCAATCCATTTACATTTAGAGTGATTATTGATATATGAGGGCTTAATACTGCTATTTTATCACTCATTTTCCAGTTATGCATTTCCTTTGTTTCTCATCCTGTGTGTTTCAGACTACCAATTCAGTTTGGTAGTTCTCTGTGATGGTTTTCTTAGTTTTCTCTTTATTTATCATATGTGTCTCTGTTCTGGTTATTTGTTTAGTGGTTATCATGAGATTTGTATAAAAAATCTCATAGATAAGATAGTCCATTTTCTGATGGCCTCTTATTCCCTTAGACTAAGTCAATTCCATCCCTTTCTTCTTCCCCTTCTAAGTTATTATTGTCACAACTTATTCCATCTTGTGTTGTGAGTTTGTGGTTAAAGTGATGAGGTTATTTTTACTTTTGTTGTTTTCCATCCCTTTATCTTTGATGTTATAATTAAGTGTTTGCTAACCTATTCTGATAGAGAGCTGCAATTTTTTGATTTTATCTACCTACTTTTCTCCTTGCTCAAGGCTTTGTATCCCCTTTCTCTTTTTTTCTTTAGGGATTAGGAGCTTCTTGAGCATTTCTTGTAGTGGGGGTCTTGTGGCAATGGAATCCCTTAGCTTTTGTTTATCTGGGAAAGTTTTTATTTCTCCATCGAATCTGAAGGATATTTTCACTGGATAGAGTATTCTTAGCTGAAAGTTTTTGTCTTTCAGAGTTTTAAATATGTCATTCCACTCCCTCTTAGCCTGTAAGGTTTCTGTTGAGAAGATCGCTGAGAGCCTGATAGGAGTTCCTTTGTACGTTATATTTTTCTGTCTTGCTGCCCTGAATATTTTTTCTTTGACATTGAGTTTTTCCAGCTTTACTACTATATGCCTTGGAGAGGGTCTTTTTATGATGATATAGTTAGGAGATCTGTTACTTCATTCACTTGTATTTCCTTCCACAGGTTTGGGAAGTTCTCAGCTATTATTTCTTTGAACAAGTTCTCTGCTCCTTTTTCCCTCTCTTCTCC